TATCGCTGTACAACATGTATGAGGAACGCGTCTCAGCCACACTTGCCAAACCAAGCGGGCTTTATGTAGAAGTACCGTAGAATTTTCGTGCTATTTCCGTAGAAATGTATGCATCGAAAAGTCGATCATTGATCATGACTATTGCACGATACTCCTTTTCATCGGATAAAACTTTAAATATTCTTGTCAAAAGTTCAAATTAATTCCTCGTTGATCACACGGTATAAGTGCAAGAAAAATACGTCAAATCTTAAACAGGACAAACAAAATCACGTACTAATCATAATTATTTCATCAATTTAATCAGCAAAGATAATTTACACTAATCAACAGTACATTCGTGATCGTATCGATTAGTACCGTAAGAAATCATAATATGCTTTTGAATAACTTATTAACTTGAGCATTGTGCTTTATGAAACATTTCAAAAGTTTTACGCGTGTCCTTGATTGCTTCGAATTCAACTTTTCTAAACACCAGCAAACGCGATCATGCACGATTGTAAAATTGTTCGTCGATAATTAACACATTTTCCTACAAATTTTGATTATATCGTTGCAGTGTTGCATTTTCGAAGGAATGGCGAATTCGGACAATCTCGATTTTAAACCAACGAAATGGACCACTATGAACGCAGCAGGATGTCTATCTTAAATCTTACAGGTAGACCCCGAACGTGCAGAACGGTTCCACAAGCCCAAAGGACACACGTAACCGACGAGGTGCGTCGGGGTAAGATAAGAGGTTACAAGTTCAAAATTTCTCGAAAATCTTGACGTTTTAAAAATGAATTTAACTGCTCAATTATCGAGACTCCTAGGAAGTAACGTACATTGTTTTGATCGTCACATATTGGACAATAATGCTCTTCTAATTCTGAGTAGCAGAGACCGCAAAAGTAGTGTTTTCGTAGTGATATGTCGAGATCAGCGAAAAATTTTTTTAGTTTATAAACCGATTTCAAGCAATTATTAGGTTCAGGGCAATGCATTAACATTAAATCGATCATATGCGATGAATGAACTCCGGTAATTTTGAAACGCGATGTTAATTTTAAAATTGACATGATACTTTCTTCTGTTGTTATCGGCGCTCCAGGATATAAAGGTTCATCGAAATTCCTATTATTATTCTCGTTTTCAATCGTCGTCGTCTTCACTCGATGACACATCGTTTGAGCTGCTACTATCGAGAACTTCCATCATCTTGCACAGACAGATTTTTATCGGAGGATGAGCAAAGCTCACTTACTGCAGACATCATGGGACTTATAAAACCTACTTATATATCACCTAGAAAATATCATGGCTATTAACAATCATGAGTAAAACATCAAAATATACACGAGACCTACGATTATCAAGCACGTGACGCTCGCATTTCACAGACATAGTCGACGAGCCTGATAAAGCTTTATATTAAAAAGTTATATTTTATCGGTGAGGCATGGAGCCTGTAACTCTTGAGATGCAAGATACAGTAGCTGCAGTGCTCGCAATGTTTACGAAGCGACAAGCGTTTTGAACGCAGCAAAATTTTTACCTCGGCTTCGCCTTGGATGATTTGCATGTGCTCTACGACTTTCTAGTTTTTCACTCCCTAGATGCAAAATATACTATTAAGGTTAAATCTATATAGCAAAGATTGCAACGTATTATTGATTACATTTCCAAAGACGTTGTCATAGATAATACGGATTCATTGAAAAAACTATCGGTCACTAAATCAGGAGAAATAATTGACGAACAGAAAAGATTGTCAAAGTCTCCAAATTTATAAATGCACAAACGCGAGAATCATTTAAACGAAAAAAAGAGACAAGAGCATATGGAAAATGTTACAAACATGAAATCAAGAGATATTGTGAAACGCGACCCCGTGTTTAGTTTTGATGATAGCAGAACATCGTGAGTAAGCGAATAATTTATGTTGGATACTGTGCTTTTTTATTTACATACTAATTTTAGTAATCTATTGCGCAAAAACTGTTGAAATTAAAGAGCAACTTCCCGAAGAGTTCATGGCGGAGAAAAATTCTCAACTAACCGATAACGCTTCGAAGATGCCGATTTATAAACATACCTGCAATGACCCCCGAGCTATTTTGTATAGTATATGGCCGATTCTCAGTCAAGTCGAATGGCCAAAAAAATTTTTTTTCTGCAAATATGAAAAACTTGTTGTATTTGATGTCAGATTTGTCCCAAAAAAATTTTAGAAAAATTGGGGCCTTCTATGACACTTTTCCAGAGGCCCAAAGTTGGCCATTTTAGGTTTTTTTTTTTTTTTTTAAATTCATGAAAAATCACAAATATTCAAATAATTCCTGGATCAGGGCACAATGATTCAAAAGTAAAAGTGCCCAGCAACTTTTTTGTTGGAAATTGTCCAAATTTTCAGAAAAAAAGTATGCCAAAGTGATTGGAACCACCTAAAGACGTAATAGTGGGAAAACATGAAAAAAAAAACATAAAACAAGAAATCTACTCGAGTTCGAACCGGACTTTCATTTCCTAAACTATGTAAAAAGTTTCTCAAAGATGTCAACTAATGCCTGATAAAGTTTTGTAATGGGTCTTAGAGTTTAACGCCATGTAGACAACAATGTGTGGCGAAAAACGTGCAAAAAAGGTAAAAAATACGCTTAAAATGCCTAAAATCATCAAAAACAGCCATTTTCAGACCTTTCTTGCACGTTTTTCGCGACACATTATTGTCTACATTGCGTTAAACTTTAAGACCCATTACAAAACTTTATCAGGCATTATTTGACATCTTTGAGAAACTTTTTACATAGTTTAGGAAATGAAAGTCCGGTTCGAACTCGAGTAGATTTCTTGTTTTATGTTTTTTTTAATGTTTTACCATTATTACATCTTTAGGTGGCTCCAATCACTTTGGCATACTTTTTTTCTGAAAATTTGGACAATTTCCAACTAAATAGTTACTGGGCACTTTTACTTTTGAATCGTTGTACCCTGATCCAGGAATTATTTGAATATTTGTGATTTTTCATGAATTTCAAAAAAACCCTAAAACGGCCAACTCGAGGCTTCCGAAAAAGTGTCATAGAAGGCTCCAATTTTTCTAAAATTTTTTTGGGACAAATCTGACATCAAATACAACAAGTTTTTCATATTTGTAGAAAAAAAAATTTTTTGGCCATTCGATTTCACAGAGAATCGGCCATATTTAAATATGTAAATCCGTGCATAAAGCATTAATAGTGTGAAAATTGAGAAAGTTTTTCATAGTTCTGAGGCTTTTTGATGTTTAAAGCTGACCATGTATTATTTTTAATGATTATATTAATTTTCATTGCAACACTTGCAATCGATTGAATTATATCGAGTAAAATTTTGAATGTTAAAAAGAATGTAATATGGGACAACTACTATCAGTTATTTAATGTTAATAATAGTATAAATGATCAATAATTATTGTTGAATGAGAGTAAAATTGCTTTGTTGTATTACAACTTACAAAAGTGACCTTGCTCCGAGTTCAAGGAGAAAAAAGGATTTCCGTAGCTCTTGAATTATTAAATCTCCAAAAAAATTCGTTTAAAAAAAGGTTTCCTTCAAAATCATCATTAATTTTTATAATAATTTCATCGTTTTATATTTTTTTTTCTTGTTTTTTTATCACTATTCTATATCTTTTATTTACAATTTCATCAAATAACGAATTGCGTATTACAATCTTTATTCTCAAAAATTTCTTACAAAAATATTTAAACGACGAACAGTTACATCATTATTATTATCATTATTATTGTATTCCGTCGCTAATATAACTCAAAGTATCAACGGCGCAAACGAAAAACTATAAATATATCATCTATCTGTGTGTTTGTTTTCTTTAATGGACTTTCTAGAAATTGGATCGGTGTATGTCACGTCGAGTATAAATTAAATGTTATTTCATTTGGGTAAGTATATTTTTATAGGATAATGATGAGGCAGTCATTAGGGCTTCATACGTACGCGTTTTCAGTTTTTCATTTATTAAAATAAAATCGTTACACATGGCTTAATTCGTGTATCTCTTCATTTTACAGCGAAGTTTTAATTTTTTTTCCTTTAACTTTACTCGTTTCGATTCGGTAAATATCATATATAATAGTGTATATTATATTACCTATCTAAAGTAGAGATACATCAATCGAAAAAAACTTTAACCGCAATTTCGTTACTTTTCTGTTATTTTTTGCGTTTATAATCAAAATACAGAAGTTTTTCTTCGAATTTTTTAAAAAAAGCGTCATGCTCCATAATTGTTTTTCATGGTTGTAATTCGTATAATCTTAAATTTATAAATAATAATTAAAAGGAAAACAATATAGTAATAATAGAAGTAATAATAATAATAATAACAATAATTATCATTATTATATATTTATATTAACAATAATAATAATAATCTGAATGATAATGTTTTGTTTAATGCGAAACCACACGGTAACATAGATTCTCTACCGTGTTAAAATCTCTATTTTCTTTTTTTTTAATAATAATAATGTAATTTTACGCTTCTTATTCTTTCTCGGATTCACCTTCGTCTTCTTTTTCTCCTTTTTTTTTGGACATTTAGTTCGACGAAAAGAAATTATACTTAGAGGTGTGCGTGTGTAATGTTTTATTTATTATGTAAATGAGAATTGCACCGTGTTATAAATGAAGTAAAAATGATAGAGATGAGCTTCAAAAATTTTTCGTCGTATAATTCGCAAAAAAAGCGAGAAGTAACGAGCGAGATTATACGATTCATTTTATTTTTGCGCTTTTGGAATTTCGTGTTTTACAATGTAATGTGAGTGTATATATAAGAGGTGAATTCGCGAAACAATGTGGTATATCGATATCGATAAATTAACATATAGTAAAGAGAGAGAGAGAGAGAGAGAGAGAGAGAGAGCGTGAGATTAAATAAATAAATACTTTATTTCTATGTGCGGTGTAATTTATGTGATTTTTTTTTTTATTAACTTTGAAAGCTCATCGTCCGAGCGAGATAGAGAGATAGATAGAGATAGAGAAAGAGAAAGAGAGGAAGGAAACTCGACTTGTAATGTTGAGTCTTTATCAGACAAACTTGAGGTGTTTTATTAAAAATGTCTGTTTTTATTTTGTGTATAGGATGAAAATACAACTAAAAAATTCGATGATGACGGCGTTCGCGCGGTGGATCTTGGACGTCGCTCTCTCTCGCTCGAATATAATAATTTAATTGTAGCCTGCAAAGGTAACATAAAAAAAGTTGAGCCTTCTGCTTCCTCGAAATGATAAAACGTTGTTGTATTTTGCTCTCGACTTACTTGTCAATGACAAAGAATGACGTGGTCTCGTTGTGGGCTGATATCGTTTACTGTTTTTAATGTTGTGTTGTGAGAGAGAGAGATTTTACAATTGCTGCGTTGACGTCGTCGTCTCCTGCACGAGGTAGACCTGTGATCCGGGTACGGTGGACGTGGTGACGAAGCTGCGGTGCTTGGCGCGGATGAGCGAGAGATTCGACTCGGCGGTGTCGGCTCTGTCCTCGGCCGCCTCCAGCTCGCGCTGGAATCTGCGTACCCGGGTGACGCTCTGTTGCGAGACGCCCTCCTGCTCCTGCAGCTGGCGCTTGTAGATGTTGACCTTCTGGGTAGTCTTGTCCAGGGACTCTTGGAGCAGGGCGATGTTCTTGGCGTCCTCCTCGACCTGGATCATCACCTCCTTGATGTTGCGCTCCTTCTTGCGCAGGATCTTGACGGTCTCGGCGTGTCGGCGTTTCTCCTCGTCGAGCTCGAGCTCCAAGTCGCGGATCTACGTTGATACCATTAACCATTATACAATTGTTTTTAATTTTCATTAGAGTTTTGTAATGTGAAGCCGACACTTACCCTAGCCTCGAGTTTGCTGATGATGCGCTTGCCACCGACGATGGCGTTGGCCTCGACCTCCTCGAGACGAACCGACAGATTCTTGACCTCGATCTCCAGGCTCTTCTTGATGGTCTCGATCTTGACGATGCGCTCCTGCTCCTCGTGCAGAATCTCCACGGTGTGCTTGAGCTCGTTCTGGACGCGCTGGTAGCGCTCGTCGCTCACTCTCAGCTCCTTGGTCACCTCTTCGTAGTCTCCAGCCAAGGTGGACAGCTCCTGTTCGAGCTTCGCTCGGCTCGAGGCGATGTTGACGTTGATCGTGGTGAGCTCGTTGATGCGGCTGTGGGCCTCCTCGTACTGCTGCTCGACCGATCGCTTGGCGCGCAGGGCCTGTAATAATAATAATAATAATAATAATGAATGTAATTAATGTTATCGTTCGTGGATCGACGAGAAAAAAAATCTATGATGTACTCACGGATTCGTAGTTTCCGCGGACTTCTTCGATCTCGGAAGTGAGCGACTGCAGACGGCGCTGGCTGATGCCCAACTGATCGAGCGTAACTTGGAGCTGGCGTTGTACCTCATCGTAGTGAGATTGCAATTCCTAAGCGCAAAAAGAGCAAACGATAAGACATTTATTCGAGGGATATTTTTGTGCACGAGTCAGCTATATAATAATCTGTATACTTACGGTCAGAGTGAGCGACTGCTTCTTGATGGTCTTCTGGAGATCGATGTTGGTCTTGTTGGCGACGTCGAGCGAGAGCTCGAGCTCGGTGATCTGGATCTGGAGCTTCTTCTTGACGCGCTGTACCTCGGTCTTGAGCTTGATCTCGGCCTCGGCCACGCGGGCGTTCAGCTGCTCGATCTCGATGCTCGTCTGTTTGCTGTTGCGGAGAAAAAAAATTGCGAGGCGCTCGTATAATGTATTGTTTATCAGTTGCACTACGATAAGCTACATGTAATAACTAAACGACAAAAACAGGGGGGTGGGTAGGATACGATAAAACAATTTTCAACGGTATACACATACACATCGTCACAATTACACGTCCTCTCACACCTCTTTTCCGAGAAATAACTGGCGTTCCTCTTCTCGAAGCTCTTCATCTCCCTGCTCAAGGCTATCAGCGGCTCCGTGATCTTCTCCAGCTCGCACAGATTGCGATTTCTCTCGCGCATCATCATCGTGTGCTCGACCTCATCGTGCAGCACGTGCACCGTGTCCCTCTGCATCTTCCTGATGTCGCACAGCTCCTCGCTCTGCGACAGATTCTGCAGCGCCTGAGCCTTCAGCTGAAACTCGATGGCCTTGGCGGACTTGCTACCCTTTTTCCGCAGCTCGCGGCCGTGCTCGAGGGCCTCTCGTATCTCAGTCTCGGCGTGCATCTCGCGCAGCGACGCCATGTCTTCGATTTCTTCGTCCTCTATTTCGTCCTCGTCGACCTCGTGCTTGCTCACAGGACTTGGGGTTACGACGATTTCCCGAGGTTCGCTGCAAGCTCGTCGCAGCAGAAAGCTCCGAGCCTCCGACTCAAATTTGCTCGAGTAGACCTCCTTGGAGACGCGAGCCGCCTGTACGCATTTGTGCCGGCTGAAGTCCGAACGCTTCGCCGCCTAATTGAAACGTGGTTCATTGTACACATACATTAGTATATATATCGCTGCGGTGAGAGTGTGCTTGTGGTTCGACGAACTGCTCGATGATGATTGTTGTGTCGTGTGTGCTGCGTATGATTTTTTATATTTGTGCACGATCAAAACTAGTCCGGGATCTCCCGGGCAGTATAAGATGATGATGGCGATGGTGGGCCGCGCACAATTCGGAAAAGTTTCGATCGCGAGAGCAGCCGACTTGGCAGCAGGTGAAATTCGGGAAAACAGCGAAAGAGAGAGAGAGAGAGAGAGAGACTCGACTGTAACACTGTGTGCTGTGCGCCAGATATTTAATTTTATTACGGATGTTGTGGCCCGCGCCACCGCAGTCTCAACTGTGTGGCGGTGCAGAATTTTGAAACGACCTATTTCTCCGTAACTCTGTATAACAATTGGAACGCCCGTGTGTGTTGCGAAAAGAAAGGGTGGTTCGTGTGCTTTTTATGCAATTTTTTTTTCTTTTTTTCGTGTAATCTCAGTTTCAGGTGCGGATAAGCGAAAAAATTATTCTTACTTACGAAGTCGTTCTTCTTATATTATTTAATCTAAACTTTATATCGTCGAGCCCAAAACAATAGCGCGAAAATCGAGTTACACGTAGAAAAATCACTGTACAATATACTCGCGCGAGATTCCACTACGTCTCACTGTTCCAAAGCGACTCCGTGAGGCAGAGCTAGCTCTGGCCGCAGAGTCGCGTGCGCCATGCTCTCTCTCTCTCTCACTCTCCGGCCGTCTCTTTCTTCGGCACCTTGTGCTGCCACCCGATTTAGACTATGTATTTCTCTTCTATACGTCTCTTTCTCTCTCTCTCTCTAGCCTGCCTCGTGCAAAAAGGTCAGTCGAGTGATCGGCGCCAGTATTATAAGACTCTGAAGCTATATGTATGTACGATCGTTGAACAAATACGTGCTCGATCGCTCGAGTACAGAAAGGTAAAAAAGCCCCACCCTCGAACCGAAAGCTCGAAATATTTACCCGTACGATATATTATGAAAAAATAAATAAACTTCCATCTCGAAACATGCGTCCCGTAGATACATTATCGAGTATCCGTATAGAGCGGTCATAAGTCAGTAGTCGCTGCGCGAATAGCTGCTGCCGTTTCACGATGCACACACGCTACATTCTATTTTCGCGCCTACGTAGCTCGCGGATCTTTAGCTTGTATACGCGAGCGGAGTTGCCCAGGCCCGAGAGATTAGTATTTTAATTTATGGTATGTAAGTTACGATTGGAAAAGCTGAGAATTCTACGCGATCGATTTCTCAGTCTCATTTTTTTTATTTTTCATAACAAAACTACCGAACGATGTCGCTTGCGAAATTTCGAGTTATTATTAGAAAACGTTCGCGAGAAAATAATTGACGAGAATAGAGATTTTGAAATGTTTACGTATGGGCGAGATACGCTGTCGATGACTGTCGGATGATGATGATGATGACGATGATTCGAAGTGACTCGAACTCGTCGTAATTCGATTTTGCTATTTTCGGAAAAGTACGTTTGCCTCGGATCGATGGTTATAATGAAAATCTTTCCCCGTTCCACTCAATCTCACCCTGAAATTGATCAGATGCTCCTTAGCCCGCATCTCGGCGGCCGTCGTGTGCTTGGCGAGCTCGTCCCTGGTGTACGGGATCACGGCCTTGTGCTGAAAGGCGTAGCCTCGCTCGTCCCTCCAGGGCACCGTGGCCTTCAGGGCCGTGTCTCGCGACATGATTCCGCCCTCCTTTCGATCGAGATAGTCGATCATCGGCTGGTAATAATTGATGCCGTAGCCGTAATTGCCCTCGTAGACGGTGGTAGGCAGGTGGCGCCATTTGCTCGGCGCCACGGGCATGCGGTCCAGTGGCATCTTGTCGGACATGATGATCGGTATAACTTTTCTTATTTTTTTATATGTCGCTCGGCACTTTTGGGATTCGCTGTCGTACGAAACACTTGGTATTCTTCGTTTTTCGGCTTATTCGATTAATAAACTTCGATAGTACAGTATAAAAGTAAAAAAATAAAAAGTGAAAAATCTAAGCGAACTTCGTTACTCCGCAGCGTCGCTGCATTTATCGATATCGATATCGATCGATAGATGCTAGCGAGACGAGGAGCAGAGTGATTCTGACGACAGGTGCACGATCGACACTGTCATTTGTAGACTCATTTTTTTGTTTGCACAACACGCGCACAGCGTCGATGCACAACGTGTCAATTCTGCGCAAAGATAAATGGCATTAAGCCTATGTAGCGTGTGTACCTATTCAAATTATTTTTGTCGCTATGTTACTTCGCAGAATGGCAAGTTGTGATTCATGCCTTCGTGCGTCGTAGTGGAGTACACACGACATCGAGATTTTTTCGTACGGGTCAAGGGTAGCAGCGGTTCTTTTTTAATCTTTAAAAGCTCGTCTTGCGGTTGATGTATCATAAGCTGCTGCGGCGATCGAGATTCAAGCACTGGATATTTTTTATGAATCTTGACCGATGATCGATTATGAACACTTCGAAAGTCACAAGTACTCCATTGAAAACAGACATCGGTCCATTCTTTTACGCACAAATTTGACCATAAGTACGTCTTCGATGCAATGTCAAAGTCGCGTACACACAAAAAAATACGAGGAAGCCGCCGTCGTCGTCTTTGTTTCACGGCAATTCGAGAGCGACGATCGATAAGCATGCAACAAATCCTCTCGACGACTGAGCCGAACTGATGAGAGAATTCGTTCGTGGATCGTCGTCGTTGCTCAACATCGGTACATATCTCGATACATACATACACACACTCAGAATTTCGACACGAAAATTGTTTTATCGTTTACATGACCAGAAATGCTTAGTGGTACAGACTAAACACGATGACGCGCGCGACGATTACTTACCGGATGGCTTCGATTTCCTCGTCCTTTTCGGCGAGACGGCGCTCGGTCTCGTGGCGCAGTTGGCTCAATTCAGCGGACAGACGCTGCGATCTTTGCTCCTCGATCTTACGGCCCTGTACCAGAAAAAAAGGAGTTACAATCGGAACGTTTACATACATTATTTTTTTTTTTAAGGTAAACAAGAAGACTCACGGCCTCGGCTTCCTTGTAGGCGGCGGCGAGCTCCTCGCGCTCGTTCTCGAGGCGGCGGAGTTCGAGCTCGAGCTCGTGCAGTCTGCGGTTCATGTCGGCCAATTGGTTCTTGGCGTCGCCAAGATCATCTGCAAGAATAATTTTGTACGATTAAAGAAACTCAATTTACCTCGTTCGTTTATTATAGGGTACTTATACCAGTGATTGACCACTTTCGACCAGTAAATGACCACTTTTGGATGTGCCATAATTATCGTTTTTCCTTGTTAAATTATGATCGAACATAGAAAACAAGATGCATCGTTTACTGAGGAATTGAATTACGTCCATACAAATACATTTTAATTGTTTTTTATATGATATTTTCCAAAATGGTCATTCACTGGTACCCGGTCATTGATTGGTCTGACTACCCTACACCAAAAAAACTCGATACTAACCGCCAAGTTTCTTGTTCTCGCGGACCAATTGATCCTTGAGCTCGCGCGTCTTGTCCAACTCGGCGTTGGTGCGTTGGAGCTCCTGTACCTTGTTGCGCAGGTCGCGCTGGCTGGCCTCGTACAGCTGGATGGTCTCGTCCAGCCTAGCCTTGAGCTCGATGTTGGCCTTCTCGAGATGCTCGACGCGCTTCTGCAGCTCCCGAGCGGTTCCGTTGGCCTTCTCCAAGTCGATGATGAGTACCTCGACCTCGGACTGCAGGCGGGACTTTTGCTTCTCGAGATTGTTGATCTTGACGACGAGGGTCTCGAGGTGCTCCTCCTGCTCCTGGATGCGAGCGGTGTACTTGCGGCGGATCTCCTCGACCTCCTCGGCGCGGGCGTTGGCCTCGGTCTCGTACTTGGATCTCCAGACGGACACCTCGCCGTTGGCCTTGACCAGCTGACGCTCGAGCTCGAGACGAGCCTCGGACTCCTCCTCGAGCTGGACGCGGACGGACTCGACCTCGGACTCGAGTTGATGGAGGGAGGCCTCGATGAGCGAGCGGCGACGCTCCTCGTCCTCCAGACGACGGCGGGCATCCTCGAGCTGGCTGGCGACCTGGGACTTGAGATAGCTGACGTTCTCGATGTTGACCTTGAGATCCTGGACCTCTTTGGTGAGCTCGATGTTCTCCTGCGATAGGCGCGTCTTGTGGCTGGTGATGTCGACGATGGTGCGGTTCAGCTCCTCGATCTTCACGTTCAACTCGGACACGTGGATCTCCAGCTTCTCCACGGTCTTGATGGACATGAGCTTCTCCTTGGAGACATTGTCGAGCTGGGACAGGAGCTCGTACACCTCCTGCTGGAATTTCGTCTTTTCCTTGTCGATTCTATCGAAAAAGAACGATAATAATAAATAACGACTCTGCGTGAGTATTTTTTTTTGGTTTTCGTGGGGGTTTAGCCCGCGTTACGACATAATAACGTAACTGCCCCACCGAGGGAAATATATTTTCGCACGCGCGCGCTGACTTAATATAGGCGAGGCTTATACACACGCCGAGCGAAAGAGTTGGAAGTCGTCGCAAGCTCGCTTGGCACTATATATAAATAGATTACGTGCAAAAAGCTGCGCTCTGCGCGGGACACGCGTTAGAATAAGTTCAACGATTTCATTGCGTATTACGTATGCGCGCGCGCGTGCAGATAACAACGGGTATAATTACGCGATTTCCACGAATCAACGAGCTCTCGCAGCCAAGTGTGATTTTTTTTTACTCTAAGAGAGTGTGTAATTGGACCCTACTGCCTCCCCGTTCTCACCAATTATAAGTGTTGGCCAAAATTCGGTCGCGACGTATTGCACGCGAGGAATTTCGCGACTATTCACCTCGCGCTGACACACACACACATGCGCGTAGAGTTTATTTCTGGATTCGCGAGAAATTTTTACCCACATTCTGTGTACTCGTTAGGATTCGGGGGCGCTTTTATCGTGAAAATTTTGCACAAAGGGAGAAAAGTCAATTTGTCACCCCGCGTGCAAACATTACGAGAGCAAAATTTTCTCGTCCGACACGATATCGAAGAAAAGATGATTTTAAACTGCGCGAGAGCCTAATCATTCCGAGATTAGGCAAATTTTGCGGACCCCTTTCTCGTCGATGCGTTGAAAAACTGGATCGAAGCCAAAGTTTCCATGTGCAGCGCATACTTTCACCGTTAATCATTTTCCGCCCTCGCCTCGTCGTAGTCGCGTTTCTAAAATTGAGCTTGCCGACTTGTACACGCGAGACGTCGAGATTTTCATCCCATGACATTTTTTGCATTACGACGACGATACTCACTTGGCGCGTGATTTCGACAGCTGATCGATCTGGTCCTGGAAATCGACGACGACCTCTTGGTGCTTCTTGCGCAGCAAGTGGGCCGTCTCCTCACTCTCGAGGTGCACATCCTCGAGGATCTTTCTGAGCTTGGCTAATTCTGTATCTCTCTTCTTGTTAATTTCGAACTGAAAATCATCACCAAAAATTTTACACACGCTTGTAGTCGTCGAGAATACGTTTTATTTATATAATATGAAGCTCCACGCGCGAGAGAGAAATAATATTTTTTTTTCTTTTCAAAGCTAGACTCGGACACTACACTCGGACTTTTCGCGTTGAACTCTCTTGAGCTTATAGCGGCGCTTAACGGTGTCACTTAAATAAACCTCATTCCGTTTTGAGTATTTTGGCACGCGATAAAACCTTTTAGGTGTTATAATAATAATAAAAAAATGTTATTAAAAAAACAATAACGACTTCAACGTATAATAAGCATATTCTTTGATTTATAATCGCGTATATATAATTCACTTTCCTAATTAAAGTATCTGGTAAAACTCGAGATCTTTGAGTTCGTTTGATTCTCTCGAGCGATGTTTGCCGCTTGCTTTTGGCCAAGAGTTTGCCAAAAACGGAGATACGTACCTGAGATTCGGCGCCACCTTCGGCCTCCTCAAGGCGTTCGGACAGCTGGATTACTTGCACGCTCAAATCTGCGCGCTCGCGTTCGATCTGGATGGTGTAAAAAAAAGAGAGAAAATTACAATTATTATTAAATCTTATGTATTAATAAATTATTGACGATTTAAGTACAAGTTCAAGAGGTTTAAAATAGTAACGTCAAACTTTGTAGAGAATTTATAGCTCGCTACTCATTCGATGACTTGTAACGAAAGCTCGCGACGAAAACTGCCAAAACTTGTCGGTGAATCACGAATATAAGTATAAAAAATGTTTGAATTGTCATTATTAAAGTCAACAACAAACAGTAACAGCATATCTTATTTTTTTAATTCGAGTGATTGAAAATTAAAAGTATCACCAGAAAGATAAAAATTGAGTATAGGTAATTCAATGTCTTTCAGCAAATTTGATATTGGTGTACTTGGGATTGTATATTTTGTACAATAGTTACTTCCATTTTTAAACGTCAAATTTTCAGGCATCTAATTATAACCCGAACACGTTTGTCCGAAGGTATGCGCGTGGAAAAGCTTTGGCGCCCGAAAAATCCGCGAACTTGAGACAACACAATTCTCTCGAATCATCATCGCGTCATACACATACTCAAGCAAGTGATGTGTCCATTGTGCATAGCGTTCAAATGTAACCGGCACGCAGTAGCGAGGCGGGGACCTTGCATTTGCCAATTTCCGGCAGATCTTTCACTTCAACCCGACCGTTTTCTGCCGCGCGCATAATGCCTATTACCCGTCGTAAATGTACATGAGTGTGTGATGAGAAAGGCCACGTTCGAACTTCGAAAACGACGATATAAATAAAAATCGAGCGAGCTTTTCGACTCTTCGGCTCTTTTTAGATATTCTCCGGAGGATTTTCTGTATACGACTCGCGCGCGCGGAGTGCCTCGAAAGTATATTTTTGCATTTTCCTCGCTTTCTCCAGGCTTCTCGCTCGGTCTCGCGGCGCGCACAAGCCAAGTCATAATTTCTCTCTCTCTCTCTTTTTCGGGTACACATAATGGGCGTGCAAATTCTAAGGCACGCACGCACACATATACATTTCGGTTATATATGCTATAAACCCGAGAAAAGAGGGAGGAAAACATCGTTGGAATGCAAGAGAGCGAACGAGAACGCGTCTGTAGAGCTTGTTGGTTCTACCCCAAAAATAGCTGCTCGACGCCCGAGCTGGACATTTGCGAACCTGGCCCGACTCTACGCGCGTGTGTGTGCGTGCGTGTCCGCCATCTTCGGGCAGAGAGAGAGAGAGAGTGAGACGACGATGGTGACTCGCCACTCGCGATTCATCTCTCTCTCTCTCTCTCTCTCTCTCGGACAGAGAGATATTAGATACTTTTTCCCGAAAAAAAAATTCACAATAACACCCGAGACTCTGAGAGTTCTAAAATAATCGAGCTTGCGAGAGCTTTTTTTACAGCGCGCGCGGAATCGAATCTCGGCGCTAGCTCTCTTGGAATTTATACACACACATTTTGTTTGTGTATTGTCGCAACGAAACAGTCGAGAAATAGACGGATGGGTAAACGCGAATGTTTTTCTTTTTTATTGTCGATGACGCGAGATGACGACGATGATGATATCGGATGAAAAGAATGATTGGAGAATTGTGTCATTAGGCCTATTGGATTCTATTTTTAAGATAAAGCTTACACGGCGTCTGACGACAGCTAAATTAAGAGTGCGCGCGCGCGATTTAATTCTGTTTATATATGTTTAGATGTGTGTGTGTGTGTGTCACTATATATTCTTGTTTCAATTTATTAGGGTTTATTTTTCGAGGTTCATTGAAATTTTTTTTTTATTTATATATTTCGTAAAAAAACTTGTGCGCTATCCCTGGGCAGCTATAATGACACACTCGCATTTGGACCCGATCCGATCCCTCTCGTAGTTTTGTTATTACTCAACGACGTTATCGGTATTTTAAACCAATTGAACTATATATACAGACACACACGCGCGCACACATGTGTGTATACGTCAAAGTGTATATCAGTGTCAAGAACACATAAACTCACCCTCTGGCGCAGCTCTCTCTCGGTTTCGAGGTCATCCTGAAGAAGGCGGATTTTGTCCTGGAATCATTATACAGAATGGTAAAACATTGATGCAATCAAGTGGAGGAAGTGTACAAAATATTGGACGTTAAAAATAACGCTACCACAGTCGTGTGTGTAGTAATATCTATGCGTGTACGAGAATATTTCGTACACGCAGCTTTTACGTAACCCCGTCGTCGTCTGTCTAAGTAAGTGTGTGTGTGCGTATGAGTCACCCGCGACAGAGATGCGAAAATATCTCGGGGGAACCGTGCAATTTTTTAAAGATCGTATTATACATACACAGACATACGATCGCGGTCGATTTGGGTCAAAACGTCATATTTCAGGCTGATTTTTTTTCTCAAAACATTCAAATTTTTTCTGCCCGAGGTAAAATTAGGTTACGGTACGCGCGGATTCTTCATCTGTTTGGAAGCATACAGAAGCATATATTCCCTCTCTCTCTCTCTCTTGTGTACCTCCTTTCCGCAGACTCGTCGACTATTTTTGGGATCGCTTCGTTTCTTTGCCGAGATCTATTCTTGCATTTTTTGCGCGCTCTCGCAAGCACACACGCACCACCGGCCTCTTTACAAAACAATTTTTTTATGTTCTCCGAGTAAACTACTGCATTTTTCGGACGACCGATCGGCTGCCGATCTTTGCCGATTTTTCGCCGATTTTCAACGACACGGACACACCGGCCATGGCATACAACAATTTTAGCGGCATAATTTCGCCAGAGACGCGCTCAAAGATCGTCTCCGAACGATATGTAGGAACGAGCGTGTGTGCGTGTGTGTGTGAGGTGAGGTGAGAGAGCCTCTCTCTGTCTTGACCAAAGCCGTGTGTGCGCACCACCTATTTTTGTACTACGAGCGAGAAGCTCTACGGCCACTTTGGCCTGATGTAGCAGCAGTAGCAGCAGCAGCAGCACACACCGAATGTTTAAACGAGAGACGCAGAGATTGGCACTAAAGTCCCTTTTGGTCACTGAACTTTTCTTTCTTATGCAGCAGAATTATTATGACACTCAACTTTTTTTTATCTTGTAATAGCCAAAATCTATGCACAGTACCGATATATATCGCCTCGAACAGATTGGCACACAAAAAAGTACATCATGGGAAGCACTGCCTTCATCATCACTTGTGACGTTCACGCTTGGTCGTCTTCGTCTTGCACTTTTGTCTTACGTCATAACATATTGAAAGTGGGTAAAATAGTAGCGTTTGTATGTGTATGTAAATTGCGTTCGTGTAAAATATTTTCTCTGTGGTAGCGTTATAGAGAGCTTTTCATGGGTTCATGGGTTTTTAGTCTGAAAAAACTTACCTCGAGCCTCGAGAGCGCGCTCAGGTCGGTGCTGTACTCGAAGCTGACGTCGGCCTGGCCGGTGCCGCTCGAGCGATAGGTATACTTTGATGCTTTAGCCACCGCGGACGACATTCTGAATTAATTTTATATAATTCTTCTCCTTTTTTCCCTTGAATACAATAAAAAAAATCTACAACACTTGAAACCAAACTTTTCTTTCTTGGGATCAAACAGATATCTTGTATCTATTTGCACTCGCGGGTTTTTTTCTTTTTATCGAACTGTATTTGGCGATGATCCTCTCTGGAGCGCGTTTAGTCGCGCGCGCGCGTCTGTGCGTGTGTGTGCGTCGCGAACAACTACTTTTTTCCTAGCCGTACGTGTACGATGAAGACCGTACTACTCTACCGCGAGAGATACAGAGACAGAGTGAGAGATGCGGCGGCGGCTCGCGTTGTGCTCACTCCACAGAGGATGGGAATTTATTGAACTTTCCGTAGCAGCAGCGTAGCAGCGAGCGAGCGAGCTTTCGTGCGTGTGCTTGCGCGCTTATATGTGTGTATGTGTGAGTGTACGTGTGTCCCGACCAGCGCGCGCCCTACTCGTATATAGTGTCGTCGTCGTCGTCGTCGCGCTCACCGTCTCGTTCGTGTATACGGCGCGCCGCAAAAGTCGAGCTTTTAATCTGCGGCCCCGTCAAAAATTCGCTGAAAGCTCGTGTGCGCGTGCGCCATGGATCGGCACGGTATACGACACACGCGCAAGAAGCCTGTGTGTATCCCCCGCCCATCGTACCTGACTGTGATGCAAATTTAAACTCGGCACTTGTGCAAGTGTGCGTGAGTATGCGTGTGTGTGTGTGGGCAAGGGTGATCAACGAGACGAGAGCGAGAGAGAATCTGCGTAGGTGGTAACCGTTTCGAGTATATTTATGTAGGTGAGCGCGCCTCGCCCTATTATATGCTAGGCTCGCGCTTAATTCATACTCTCTCTTTCTCTGTCTCGCTCTCGAGTGTTTATAGCCATGATGCTCTTTCTTGCACTTCGCGTCTGTGCCGGGCACCACGCAAAGGAAAGGTCGTTTATACTGTATTATCGTACGTACTCTCCTGGGAGGAGCGAGCGATTGACGGGTAATTAGGCGTTTACCGATCTCTCGCAAGCTCGATTAAATTCCGCAAGCTCGCGCTACGGCGCTTCCGAGAATTTCGTGAGCGCGGTGCGTAAACTTTTCAACGCCGTGCAGCTAGAGGCTTTCAGCGCGAAACGAGCTTCCTGGAAAATTTTACCATGCGCTACTTTATTTGTTTTTGATGATTCGATTGAAAAGTGGCAGGTGTATAGGATGCGTCGTTGCTGCTGCTACCTGCGCGAATTTCAATTGTATACCGAATTAACGATTATATTTTTAACGCGATGGAGGGGGAGGCAGCGGCTGGTAGTATAGTACACTAGGAGGAAAAACAAAAATGTGTAAGCAGATTGATAGTCATCGCGATGAGCCATTGCCAATGCTAAGAGAAACAAGAGCATTTGTGTGTTTCCCTTCGAGAGAGCAAGAGAGAGAAAGAGAGAGGAAGATGAATAGAGGTCGAAAATTAGTACGAAATTAGATGAGAAGTTGACTCAACTTTCGTGTACGCGTATGACTGACGCAACTATTTTTTATAAATCAGACCGACACGGCGGTCTCTTGCACAAACACTTTGTCGGTGTATTATTTTTTTATTCCGAAATTCGTTTTGAAGTATTTCATTCGGACGATTGGGATAATTCGAATTCGCGAGAGTCGTGTCGAGAAAAAAATAAATTGCGAGGATCCAATTGGAAAGTCGACGAAAGCTTTGTTCTCCGAGATTCTGCTGCATATATGTTTACGCGAAGAAATAGCTCGTGTCGCGACCCATACATTACTGCCTCTTTAAATTCTGATCCAGTTATATTTTTCTCTTCGCTCATGATGTAGGTTAAATGTCCAAAAATAAACTTTTTTTTTGCTGTATTCGTATGGTTTCCGGTTGGAAGATTGCTTATTTTCATTTGCTAAGCTTTGGGTCTTGCAAGCTCGACAAAAAAATTTGTTTGCCCTACTTCTTTTTTACCTTTTGAAAGTAAATACTCCAATTCGATGAGGCAGCTGTATTGCATATATTGTTGCCGGTTTATATACTCGCGCTTATATATACTCGTGCTTTCTATATTCTACCACTTGCGGGAACTACCATCCGCAAAGCGACATCTGGGGGCAGATTGCAACAAATGTGAACCTTGCACGAAATATTCTACTTGTTTGTTTTTGTTTTCGTCGCGTGCTCTACTCTCTGATCGCGAGCACTTCGCATGAAGAGTAAATCGATTTCAGGGCTAAGAAGAAAAGATTTTACTGATATAATTTATAGTATTATTTGATGACAAAAACCAGTTACTGACGATGTACTTTACTCCATAGAAAAAAGTTTTATTACCATGGAATAGTAGTGATGATCTCAAGGAATCATGTTATCGTTATGAAAATAATTTTTGTATCGAGCTTAACTCTATGTACAAAGTTGCGAATGTATTGTCCAGAGTTTCAACCTCTCTTTCCCCCTCTCGATTGAATCAGCACAGACACCTGATTTTATACAAAACACGTTTATAGAAAAGTTCACGAGCAAGAAGTGAGGATAAAAATTCGATACTTGAAGTCCCGAAATGATCGCAGCTACATAATTATACATGCATAGTAGGGTGGTCCACTTTTTCAAAAATTTTTTGTATCTCGGGGGATCCATCGGAATCAGAAAGTTTGAGGTTTAAAATGAATTTTCCCGTAAACTAGAACTCAAAAAAATGATTTTAGATGGTGTCGATGGATTTTTGAAGTTTAAAAACGTGCTCCAAAAAAGAAGCAAAATCGGGCTATCATTCGATTTATTTCAAACTCTGTTTAGAGGGTAAAAATAATCTTGACAATACATTTTCTTATGTGTTTTTGTCTGCAGAATCGAATGCCGTAGTCAGTTTTGACCTAGGAG